GAAATAGTCAGTCATAAATAAAATGAACTTAGCTTTACCCAAGGCCGTTGGCAGAGGGCCGACAATATCCATCCCCCATTTCATGTGTGGCCACGGGGATAGGACTGAATGAAGTTGCTCTCCGGGCTGATGGATCATCGGTGCAAACCTTTGACATTTATCACATTTTTGAACAAACTCCTTAGTGTCTTTTTCCATGCCATCCCAGTAGTATCCTGCTCCAATGATTTTGTGAATCAACGACTCGGCGCCGGAATGGTTTCCACAAGTGCCTTCATGGACCTCTCGCAAATCAAAATCGGTGTCTCCTGGTCCTAAATATACTGCCAATGGTCCATCGAATGTCCTTCTGTATTATGTTCCATCTTCATGCAACGTGAATCGAGCAACTTTGGTTCGTAGGGCCCTCGACTTTTTAGGGTACGATGGGAGCTTTCCGTTCTTCAAATATTCAATATATTTATTCCTCTAATCCCAGGTCAAGCTTGTAGAGTTTATCTCGGCATGGCCTTCATCGATCACCGATCTCGAGAGTTGAACGACAGTACCCGAGCTGATCTCATCTTCCTCGACCGACGACCCCAGATTTGCAAGTGTATCGACCATACTGTTTTGTTCTCGAGGTACATGCGGTAAAGTCCATTCCTTGAAAAGGTGCAAAGTTACCTACAGCTTGTCCAAATACTTTTGCATTCTATCCTCTCGAACTTTGAAGGTTTTGTTTACTTGGTTCCCTACCAGTAAAGAGTCACACTTGGCTTCAATGACTTCCGTTCCCAAGCTTTTAGCTAGCTCGAGACCTACAATCATGGCCTCGTACTCGGCCTCATTGTTAGTCAACCTAGAAGTTTTGATAGACTGCCTAATAGTATTATCCGTGGGCAGCTTCAGAATGATGCCTAACCCGAACCCCTTTACATTCGAAGCACCGTCTGTGAAAAGAGTCCTAACCCCCGATGATGTACCTGATTTTAACAAAAGTTCTTTTTCAACTTTGGGTACGAGGGTTGGCGTGAAATCGGCCACGAAGTCCGCCAAAATGTGGGACTTGATGGCCATTCGAGGTTGATACTCGATATCGTACCCACTGAGTTCGACGGCCCATTTGGCCAATCGACCCGATAGTTTGGGCTTGTGTAAAATATCACGGAGTGGGTACGTGGTTAATATGCATATGGGGTGACATTGAAAGTATAGTATTAACTTTCTAGAAGCTCTCATCAGTGCAAGTGCCAATTTCTCTAAGTGTGGATACCTAGTTTTTGCTTCTTCTAAGGTTCGGCTTACATAATAAATGGAAAATTGCGTACCTTGCTCTTCCCGAACTAGGACACCACTTACCGCGATTTCCGATACTGCCAAGTACAAGTAGAGTTTCTCATCTGCCTTTGGATTGTAAAGCAGTGGTGGGCTCGATTGGTATCGCTTTAATTCCTCTAATGCTTGTTGGTACTCTGGGGTCCAGGTAAAATCTTCTTTTTGAGCAAAGAGAAAAATCTGTGGCTTCGATCCGACGACCTCGAGATGAATCAGCCTAAAGCAGCTATCCGTCCAGTTAGCCTCTGCACGACCTTTACACTGTCCATGACGGTGATGTCTTCGATGACCTTGATTTTATCGGGATTGATCTCGTTCGCCCGGTTCGACACCATAAAGCCCAGGAATTTGCCCGAACCGACCCCGAAAGCACATTTCTCGGGGTTGAGCTTCATGTTATATCTCCTAAAAATCTCGAATGTTTCCTGCAAATGAGCAAAATGGTCCTCTGCGCGCAGGGACTTAACTAGCATGTCATTGATATAAACTTCCATTGACTTACCTATTTGTTCTTCGAACATTTTATTTACTAGGCGTTGGTAAGTAGCTCCAGCATTTTTTAGCCCGGAGGGCATTATATTATAGCAATATGTTCCATACATGGTAATAAATAAAGTCTTTCTTGGTCTTCCGGGTTCATTTGAATTTCGTTATACCCGATAGGCATCGAGAAAGGTAAGGATCTCGTGGCCAGCCGTGGCGTTGATCATGCGATCGATGTTAGGAAGTAGAAAAGAATCTTTGGGACATGCCTTGTTTAAATCCTTATAGTCTAAACACATTCTAAGTTTGTTCCCTTTTTTAGGGACTACGACTACATTGGCTAGCCATTCGGGATATTTTACTTCTCTAATGGACCCTATTTTGAGAAGTTTAGTTACCTTGTCCTTTATGAATGTGTGCTTTACCTCGGACTGGGGCCTTCTCTTTTGTTTCACCGGTTTGAACCTGGGGTCAAGGCTTAGTCGATGCGTTGTTATCTCCGGTGGGATCCCTGTCATGTCTAAATGGGACCAAGCAAAAACAATATATGTTATCAGTAAGAAATTGAATAAGCTTTTTCACGAGTTCGGGGGTTAACCTCGTTTCCAGGTATACCTTTCGCTCGGGCAGGTACTCGATCAATATAACCTACTCCAGCTCTTCGACCGTTGATTTGGTGGCGTCGGAGTCTTCGGGAACAATAAAAGTTTGAGGGGTCAGAAAATCGTCTTCTTCTTCTTCTATCTCCTGCTTTCTAGATTCGGTCGAGGCTGGTGGCTGTGAAAGCTAGTTGGCTACCTGTTTACCTTTGATGCTCGACCTTTCTGAAGTTGATAGTGTTGATATTGGTGTTACCTCATCGACCGCAAACATTTCCTTTGCGGCATGCTGCTCCCCATATACTGTTTTTACACCATCCGTCGTCGGAAATTTCATCATTTGGTGGAGAGTCGAGGGGACTGTCCTCATGTTGTGGATCTAAGGCCTTCTGAGTAGGGCGTTATACCTCATGTCGCCCTCGATCACGTGGAATTTGATATCCTTAATGGTTCCAGCCACGTTCACCGGTAAAATAATCTCTCCTTTAGTTGTTTCAACTGGCCATGTTGAAGCCGTTTAAGACCCGAGTTGTGGGCACAATTTGATTTTGTAGGCCGAGTTGCTCCATGACCCTCGATCGGATGATATTCCCTGAGCTACCTGGATCCACTAAAACACACTTAACTTGAACTTTATTTAATAAGATAGAATTACCAAAGCATCGTTGTGTGGATGAGAAATGCCTTCTACTTCTTCGTCGTTGAATGATAAGGAGCCTTCGGGCACATAATCTCGGGTTCGTTTTTTCCTAGTGATTGACACCTTAGTGCGTTTGAATATGGGTCCCTATGGAACATCGACCCCACCGACTATCATATGGATGACATGTTGGGGTTCCTCCTGTTCATTTTTCCTGTTAGCGTCCCTCTCTCTGAAATGATTCTTAGCTCGATCACTGAGGAACTCTCGAAGATAACCCTCATTGAATAGACAGGCTACCTCTTCCCTCAGTTGCCTGCAATCCTCAGTTTTGTGACCATGCGTGCCATGATACTTGCACATCAAATTTGGATTTCTTTGGGAAGGATCGGTCTGTATGGGTCTGGGCCACCTAGTATCTTTGATCCTTCCGATTGCCGATACATTGCCCTATGCGTCGATGCTAAAGTTATGCTCCGATAACCAAGGTTCCTTCATGGGATCGGCATGCTTATCAAAACTACTCTTGCTCATAAGTCCCCGAGAATTCTGCCCTCGACCGCTTCTTCGACCATTCCGGGAGTGATTGCGTCCTGAACCATTGTTCCTTCGATCCGCGGTATATGGTTGATATCGTTCCCAGCTCGACCTTGGCTCCCTGTCGACGTCTCTCGAGGTTTTAGCTGCCAACCTGTTTGGATGCACTGAACCCGAAGGGGCTCCCAATTGGTCATCCTCGACCGTGATCTTCAATTGATATCGATTGTGCATATCTACCCAAGTTACAACTTGATACTCGACCAAATTTTTTTTCAACTGTCGTGATGCTATCAAACTTCGCTCGTTCAACCCTTGGGTGAAAGCTTCAACGGCCCAATCATCTGTGACCGGTGGCAACTCCATGTGTTCCATTTGAAATCGGGATACGAACTCCCTCAGCATTTCATTATCCCTTTGTCTTATCTTAGAAACGTCCGATTTTCTTGTTGCTACCCTTATGGCCCCGGCGTGTGCCTTCACGAAAGAGTCTGCTAACATGGCAAATGAGTCGATGGAATGTGGTGGCAGGTTGTGATACCAAATCATTGCTCCCTTTGACAAAGTTTCCCCAAATTTTTTCAACAAAACGAACTCGATCTCATTATCTTCTAAGTCATTTCCTTTAATTCCGTATGTGTACGAAGAGATGTGTTCATTAGGATCGGTGGTCCCGTTGTATTAAGGTATATCCGGCATACAGAACTTCTTAGGAATGGGCTTCGGAGCCGCACTCTGAGGAAAAGGTTTTTGCACGAACTTTTTCGAATCCAATACCTTTAGGATCAGGGGTGCCCCCGGTATCTCATCAACTCGGGAATTGTATGTTTCTACTTTTTATCATTTTCTTCAATTTTCTTCTCCCCCTTCTAAATTCTTTTGGTGAGCTCCTCGAGCATTTTCATAATTGCAGGATCAGTCCTTGATTCGTTACCATTCGACCTTTCTGGCACTGGCTCGATATGACAAGTGATTTCTGGCTCGACCACACTTGGAGTCCTATGTTGAGACCATCATCACCATGTACGGGTGCGTTTTGTGAGTTTGACATGCTTTAAACTGAGAGTAAAAAACTTGACAAGAACAAGTGTGAAAATAACGTGTGTTATCAGAATCAGCACTAAAACAATCACTATTATCCTTACCCCCACGGTGGACGCCAAATTGTTTACCCTAAAATTCGAGTAACAATTAAACTTGTATTGTGATTTTAAGGATATGTGATTTAATTCATTGCGAATTGATAAACAAGGAATTAAATTGATAATTAAAGAATAAAATAGATCAAACCAGTGTGTAAGCTAAATCTCAACCTCGAACTGTGATAATCTCGAGGTATGATAATGGGAATAACAAATGATAAAACAACTCTGATGAACAGTAAGTGAAATAGCAAGAAAATAACAAACACATATTTTCTTATCAATGAGCAATGATCAATGTTTTACAAGTAGATGGGATCCCGCTTTATATAATAGGGGAGTCCTAAATAAGGTACACTTCTAATTATAGTAGGAAACCATATTTGACAACTGTTTAACTGCTGAAGATCAATCCATTCCGAAATTTACGGCGTGATCTCCGGCCCGTTGCGGGTATCTCGCTCTTTCCGTTACTGACTCATACCAGCATCATCTCGAAGCATGCCTTCGACCCCGAGCTCGACGTCCTGGTCTTCCAACGTGGTATCACTTTTTCCATCAAAGAACGAAATCGGGTAGCCCCGATTTCCACCGTATACAACATGCTTAATAAGTTCTAGTATGTATAACTGGATTAGTAGTCATTTAAAGTACACTGAGATTATCACAAGATACTGTTGTAGTTTTAAGATACATTTCAATGTTACATAGGATGTTTGTTATCCATGTTAGGTACAATAAATGCCAATGTTTTATATATGCCATAGTACTTGATCTTGCAATAATGCGTTGCTCCCAAGATGGCCATAACATACAATTTCTTCTAGATAAATGTTGTGCCTATAGTCGATCTCGTTTTTGAAGAAAATAATCTGGCCGATTTGAATCTGAAAATCCACAACTAGGTATTCATACAATTTTTGCATCTGGAAATGCATATAACACTGCTCTTCATTTGCAAAACTGAAACTATAAAGTGCTTTTGGACGACGATTATTGCTAAATAGAAAACAAAATAAAAAAGAAACCAAAAGAAGCACAGATACATTAAAGAGAAATAGAACACATTAAAAATATCTTGGTAGTTTCACATGTAAGCTTTCCAATAGGCAAAGAATATGCACGAAGTTGCACAAATAAACTTTTGATTGTTGTTGCGCTAATCTTTGATTGTGATTAACCATATTCATTAATTCTCTGGAGGAGCCAATCGAAGAGCTAAAGGATCATTAACAAATAACTGAATGCGTTAATCCTGTATATTAAATGGAGCCACTCAAAGTGATATGCAATCAATTGGTAACGAAAGACGTTGATAGTGTAAGTACTTGAGTTGTATTCTCCTTTTAACGGCCTTCTCTTTCGCCTTTATAGCTAAGTTGCGAACACCTATAAGTTGTCTTTTATCCAGGTCAAAAACAGTATTTTCCCCAAGATATAACTGGCTAAATAGATGTTCCATTTCCTTTTCTTCAGTCTTCTGCTGATCAATTTTCTTCATCTTAGCATCCATCTCTTTCCTGAGGAACATTTCATTTGTTGTCAACTTCTTAAGCCTCTCTACCAGTGGTTTATCTAGATATCTCATCAAGAGTTGTTTAAAATTATCTCTTGATGGCCACTCATATTTAGCATTTTTTTTATCAGGGCTGAAAACAATAATACCAATTTCTACATCACATAGAACAGATAACTCTTCTGCTTTCTTAAACAAAGTTTCCATCCTTTCTTGAAGAACAACTAATCTTCTACGCTCGTTAACCATTTTTCAGGGAAGACCTAAAATACACTTTCTATTTCAACTGTCGAAGTTTAAAAGTATAAAATAAAGTATATATGGAGGCTTGCGAGGGCAGCTAGATATCTTTCAATGACCTACTTTTAGGACATAGAAAATCCATCTATTATATCCAGACATGGTAACATACTAACATATGGATAAGTGTATAATTGGAGAGTTGGGTGTTCACGCTTTTATTGAGGTAATAATTTGGTTATATATGTTAAACATAAATATTATCCCAATTTAAACTATACAATCTTTTATGTATTTACCTTTTATGGTAGAAAATTTATGAAATTTGCATATCAGCTTAGCATCAAACTTTTAGTAGTGTAATAAAAACAAAACTTTTTATGAGCTATATTATGAAACTAGAAAGAGGTAGCCCGTGCTCACTAACTGAAAATTAATAAGCAGTGCGAAAAAGTTCAGTAGTTAACCTAGTTGGCTAAGAAATCCATAGAGTCGTGATTAACATAACTACATTCAACCCAAAAGAAGAAAAAAGAAACAGCTATGTTTATATAGTTTAGTGTGATGGGTATGTTGTTGTGGTGTGATGCTGAAATATAATAGAGTCTTGCTTGTCCATCACCCATTCAAAGGCAGAAATTTCAACCCAGAGCCATCAAGAGAAATGGAAGCTGGCAATATTACAAGAGACAATAGTGTCACCTTAGTTTTTCCTCTACAAAAGTTTAGTCTTGGATGATAGCCGCATAATAAACAGTAGAAAGCTGGTTCCCACTGCACTTTTTCCTTCTCGTATCCAGCCCAATAAAGCTAAGCTTTAAAGAAAGTAGTTGGATTTCCTGCACTATGTTGATAGGTGAAAGTTTTATTTATGTTTTAGGTAAATCATACATAGTTACCTGAACAACACAACAGAAACACTCTTCTCATGCAGAGGTGGACGTAATAATCAACATAATATGCTAATAACTCTCCCTCCCATTATCTCATAACACCATGCATTCTCATGAAGTATACATTACACAAGTTAGTAATATATTCCCTCTATTTGACATAGACCAGTAGAACATAATCTCATGCTTCAACCAAAATATTCAGTATGGACTATGATGCACACAAGCAAACTATAGTTCTAGCTACTGAGAAAGCTAATGAATATATAAATATAATTTACATCAAAGCACCCAAAAAATAGAGGAAAGACATTTTAGATTGTCGCTGAAGACTAATGAAACCAAAACCATTACAAATTAAATAAAAAACCAATGGTTTGCTGAGGATAGAATAATCAAAGCATTTAGTGATTAAAAAAAATAACCCTGATTAGCCACAAAGTCAAAAACTTGTAGTTACTTTTCTGACTGGAGCATGATACTTTTCCTTATCATCATAAGTAAGCCACCTAAAACAGAAATAATACTAAGTTCTTTTTGTCACATTCCAACTCTGACCGCGTGATAAGGATCTGGCTTGACTTACAGTAAATCCCGATCATATTAAATTAAAAGTTGTCAGGTGAAGAAGAATAAAATTGGAGAAAGATAGTAATATTAATTCAGTATCTAGCTACTTGAATAAATTAAAGTAAAAAGAAAAAATTTTATAAGGTAACTGTTCGCTTTAAAATCGCTCTACGTCAAGGCATTAATACATAATAAGACCAAGTTGGTTAACAAATGAAAAGACTTACTCAACTTTTCATATTAATGAGCTTAAATGGTACATCATCTATCGAGTGAAAAGCCATTTCAGGGAGGTGGATTCCAAGTGGTAATGAAGCTTAAAAATCTCCGGAAAACCTGTAAAGCGAGAAATAGAAAAGAATATAAGAAAAACAGAAAACAATACTTAAATAATTATCTTTACACTCAATTAATAAATAAGTTCGATAAATGATGAGGGTCGGAAAGTATGTGTATTTAATATATAAAGTTAACAATATTCGAATTCCTATTTTGCTTCAATAGTTATTAGACTTGGAAGTACCTAATGAGGGCAAAGCAGTACAACTTATTATTTTTTGAAGGGAGTGAATTTTAGCCAAATAAAACTTTGTGATCTAATAGGCATTACATGAATAGCAAAATTAATTGATGATTATCCACGATTACTTATTAATCAACAAAGAGTAATTTGAAGCAATATTCCTCTATCAAGGAATAATTCAAATCATTTAGCAAGCAATGATGCTTTACATTTAATATATTATTTATATAGAAACCAGTGAACTAATAGATTTCTTCAAAAGTTTAACTTTAAAATAGAAAACACATACACTCTTCCACAAAAAAAAAAAAAAAAAAAAAAAAAAAAAAAAAAAAAAAAAAAAAAGAAAAAGAAAAACAGGACATCTGGTTCACTTTATTTGTTTTTTTATAAATTAAGAGGCACATATTCATATCATATCATTTAAGAACTAAGCTCTTGGGTAGTTTTTATTTTCTTGTAAACTGATCACAATTGGAAACCGTTTGATCAGTGACATTGTCAAGTGAGTCTGAGATCAATAATTTTATTATATGGATAAAGCATAAACTTCTAAAAGAATGGACTTAGACAGATAAATAGAAGGAAAGCAACAGGGCAATTTCCATGCTAAAGATGATTCATAATAATCAAGTAAAAAGAAAATTGAGAGCTCCATAGGTTTAGGTAAAAGAAAATAAAAGGGCAATATCAAACTGTAAGAGTCAATCTCTATACAATTCAATCAGACTAATTTCATTATCATTAACCAAGAATAGAGCACTAATGTCGAATCAATACAGAAATACTACCATTTCTACCTTTACATATGTTGGCCACATTAACTTTCTCATAGACACCGGCTTCACCAGCAGCAGCGAACGAAGAAGGAATTCTGAACCAAAATCTGTGAACTACTTATCCTATAAGGAAATTCAGTGTTAGAATCTCTATTTGGACCCTACAATGCAAAATTATTCTCTGCTTTAGCAGACTTTGAGGATACCCAAAATAGGAAGCTCGATTTCTATTCAAAATTAACGAAGATGAATCTAATTTATCAATACCCAGCAAATTATCTCTTGCCGGGTTTATAGAAAAAGAATACCTAGATACGACAAGCAATAGAAACAAAAAATACACATGTAATCAATTAAGAATTAACTCATAAGAAACAAAAAAGTAAAAAAATAAAAATAGAGAGACACCCAACTGGAGAAACTGAAGAAAAACTAACATTTTGGGAAGAGAGGTGGATGAATGGACAAACAGAGAAACCTCATAGAAAGATGTTGAAAATATTACTCAGAAAAATGAATATAAACAATTCCAAATAACACTGTATCAAATAGGAAAACAACATGAAGAAAGAAGATTAAGTGTACTGGAAATAGTTGAGCCTCACCATAGCATCTTTAATCTTCAGCAAGAATAGATCCACAAGCGGAGGCAGCTACCACATGCAAAATTTGCAGAGGAAGTCTCAGTGTTCTGCTTAAAAAATCATATTTAAGAATTACAACAGAGAAGAATCAAAATGTTATGAAAATGTGGGAGAGAGAAAATTTCTACTATGGAAAGAAGAGAAAATTTGCACGGAAGAAAAAAAGGTGAACGGAAAGAGAACCGAAATGGAAGCCAGATGTCGACAAAGTGATTGTGCAGTGCACGTGTTCATATGAGAAGAAAAAGAAATTGAATAAGCAATAAATTAGGTCCACGTGTGATAAAAGAGGCTCAACAATACAGTACAATTTACTTTGCATTTGGTACAGCTATCTAGTGCAGTGTTCGTCCTTGTCTTCTCATTTATATATAGTATATATATATAAGTAAAGTAAAGTAATACAAGGTAATTGTGGCACGGCATCCTTTTTAGCAAGGTAATCGAATCGGGTGATGTTTAAGTAATTTCCTTAATTATAATGTTACTTACCCGTAGACGGTCAAAATCAGGTTTGCCCGACTTCGTAGGCTCGGGGAGTTGTTTCGAGAAAAAGCTCAAAACGGACCTGGCTCGAGCTCGATGGCGGAGTGTAGAACTTGAAGACCGAAGTGCTCGATAAAGGCCAAGGCCGAATATGACCAACCTCGAGATAGTACCGTTATGGTTTATTAACAGAAAGAGCGAGATTTCCGCAACGGCCCGAAGATCCCAGCATAAATTCCGGAACGAATTCCATACTATATCTAGAAGTGTACCTTATTTAGGATTCCCCTACTATATAAAGGGGATCTCAATCATTTGTAGTGGACGATTCATTGAAAAAGGAATATACATTCTTCACTTTCTTGCTTACTGTTCATCAGAGTTGCCTTATTATTTTATTGTTCTTACTAACCTACCTCGAGGCCACCATAACTCGAGGTCAAGACTTGGCTTGCACACTGGTTTGATTTGCTTTACTTCTTCAATTTATATATTTAACTCCTTGTTTATCATTAGTATTGGATTAAATTACATATTTTTAAAACCACAATGTAAGTTTAATTGTTACTCGGATTTTATTACTCGGATTTTAGGGTAAACAGTTTGGCGTCCACCGTTGGGCTAAGGATAATAGTGATTGTTTCGGTACTGATTCTGATAACACATGTTATTTTCACACTTGTTCTAGTCAAGAATATTTGTTCTCAGGTTAAAACATGTCAAATTCCCAAAATGCACCCGCACATGGTGATGATGGTCTTGGATTTCACGGGGAAAACGATAATATAATTGCTCTAGGATCCGAGGTGCCGCCGGTCAATCCCGGGGGAGTGCCGGTCGATCTAGTCGATATCAGTTCGCACATTGCTTTGAATGCGGATTTTAGGCGCAGACCCCGAAGGGAGTGTACATAGGGAAGGCCGATCTGGTGGCCAAGGAACGCAGGGTGTAGGAGTCGGGGGAGTTAGCTTCTAGGTAATATTCGAGATGCTACAGTCTCAGCAGGTTGCTATCGCTCAACTTCAAAGTCAACATAAAACTCTGAGTGTGGTCGAACCAGAAGTCACTCGCCGTACTGAGCCGGTGCTAGAAAGGTCGAATGGTAATGGATCGGGGACTGATCCTGCAATTATGAAGATGCTCGAGGAACTCACCAAAAAGAATCGAGTCGGGAGAGAAAAAAATTGAAGATAATAACAAGAAAGTGGAAACATACAACTCACGAGTTGATCAAATTTCCGGGGCACCCCCGATCTTAAAATGTTTGGATGCAAAAAAGTTTGTTCAAAAGCCATTTCCTCAGAGTGCAACTGCGAAACCCATTCCTAAGAAGTTTCGTATGCCGGACATACCTAAATACAACGGGACAATCGATCAAAATGAACACATCACTTCTTACACGTGCGAGATTAAACGAAACGACTTAAATGATGATGAGATCGAGTCGGTTTTGTTGAAAAGATTTGGGAAAACTTTTTCAAAGGGAGCAATGATTTGGTATCACAACCAACCACTGAATTCCATCAACTCATTTGCCGTGTTAGCAGACACCTTCGTAAAGGCGCACGCCAGGGCCATAAAGGTCGCTACGAGAAAATCGGATGTTTTTAAGATAAGACAGAGAGGTGATGAAATGCTGAGGGAGCTCGTATCCCGATTTCAAATGGAATGCATGGAGTTGCCACCGGTCACAGATGATTGGGCTGTTCAAGCTTTCACCCAAGGGTTGAACGAGCGGAGTTCGATAGCATCATGATAGTTGAAACAAAATTTGGTCGAGTATCCAGCTGTAACCTGGGCAGATGTGTACAACCGATATCAATCGAAGATCAAGGCCGAGGACGACCAATTAGGAGGCCCTTCCGGTTTAGTATATCCGAATAGGCTAGCAGTTAAAACCCAGAGAGACATCGCAGGGAACCAAGGTCGAACAAGGAGCGATATCAACCGTATACCGCGGATCGAAGGAACAATGGTTCGGGACGCAATCCTCCTCGAAATGATTGAAGGAACGATCGAGGACAAAATTCTAGGGGACTTATGAGTAAAAACGATTTTGATAAGCACGTCGATCCCATGGAGGCACCTCGATTGTCAAAATATAACTTCAGTATTGATGCATCAGGCATTGTATCGGCAATCAGAAGGATTAAAGATACTAGATGGCCTAGACCCATACAAACCGATCCTTCCCAAAGAAACCCAAATTTGATGTGCAAATACCATGGCACGCATGGTCACAAAACCAAGAACTGCAGGTAATTAAGGGAGGAGGTAGCCCGCCTATTCAACGAGGGCCACCTTCAAGAGTTCCTCAGCGATCGAGCCAAGAACCATTTCAAAAATAGAGACGCCAATAGGAAAGATGAATAGGAGGAACCGCAACATGTCATTCATATAATCGTCGGCGGGGTCGATATTCCACAAGGGCCCGTATTCAAACACACTAAGGTGTCGATTACTAGGGAGAAGCAGACCCTGGATTATGTGCCCGGGGTTTCCTTATCATTCAACGATGAGGAGGCAGAAGGCATTTCTCAACCACACAACGATGCTCTGGTAATTTCTATCTTAGTAACTAATGTTCAAGTTAAGCGTTTTTTAGTGGATCCAGGTAGTTCGATGAATATCATTCTATCGAGGGTCGTGGAGCAACTCGGCCTACAAGATCAAATTGTGCCCACAGCTCGGGTCTTAAATGGATTCAGCATGGCCAGTGAAATAACTAAGGGTGAGATTACCCTGCCAGTGAACGTGCCCGAAACCATTCAAGATACCAAGTTCCACGT